TACAATCATGGTGGAAAGGGAAGCAAATAGTTCTTATGAAGAAGCACATCCTTCTTCACTTGATGGCAGGAAACAGAATAAGAGCCCAGTGAAGGAGGAAGCCCCTTATAAAACCATCAGATTTTGCAAGAACTAACTCACTATCACAAAACAGCTTGGGAGAAACTGCCCCTGTGTTTCAATTATCTCCACCAGGCCCCTACCACAACACGTGGAAATTATGGGAACTACAATTCAAGATGAAATTTGGGTGGGGACATAGCCACACCATATCAATCATTCTACAAAAGTACCAGATAAGCTATTTGCTATTAAACAGATCTGTAACTTTTCTTAAAAATCTGTCCCACACAGAAGGTGCAAGATCGTGGCAATTTTCATCGCAGGTATTCTAACTATGATTAGCCATCTGAAAAAAAAAAGGTAACCCACCGATTCATTGGTCTTATTTTGGACCTAGAACATACAGGCTGCTACTAAAAAGATCCAGGGGGGCAGCTAGATTATTTCTCATTTTTTTGACTGGGAAAATTCTGAGAGAAGATGCCATAATTTGCGGGAGCAGAGATTGAAAAGTTATGATGTTACAAAAAGATCATTGGTAAAGAATCATGACTAAACTAATATAAGGTAAGTTCATGAAGGCACAGAAACTTGAGAGTGCAGTGGAAGCCACTCAGTGCTTTAGGCAAACGTGTCTGGCTGTCTGTTCACTAGCCAATACTCCTTTTTTACTAACAAACCTCTGGTTTTGTTTGTGTAGTAAGTGACTAGTAATAAAGGTTAAATTGTGACTCGTCTAAGCCTAGCGTTCTGTTAGAACTTGCTTATACCAGCTCACAAGAGCTGATTCTATGCATTTGGTACCAACTCAGAGTTCAGTGCAATCACATTGGTAGCTTAAAACCTGCAAAGGTAGTCATACTTATGCCACAGAAATAAACAAGTGCTACAAATTAGGACTAACACTCTCTCTGGCTTCTAGTCAGTTTTAAATCACTTATCCAGCACTCTCTAAACTTATCTTGGAAATCTAATTTTCTTTTGCCAGGGATTGGCTCAATATTGGGAAAGGGACCAACTTTTTGACCTACGACAAGTAAGTGAAGCTGATGAAAACCATCTGGGAAAGACTTTCTTCTCGAAAGTTAAAGCTGCAAGCCAGCTTCTTTATGTGTTTTAAATGGTATTGTGTAATGCTTGGAGATGCAGTGCTTTAAGATGCAACCATGAGGGAACATCAACAGAATCCAGAGATGCTTATACATTAATAACTTTGAAGTATCATAGGCACATGAACCAGAGCAACTCCATCTTGAACGTGAGCTGGGTAAAATGAGGTTGAAACCTACTGGGCTGCATTCCCAGACAGTAAAGGCATTCTAAGTCACAGAATGAGCTAAGAGGTCGGCACCAGATACTGGTCATAAAGACCTTGCTGATAAAACAAACAGGTTGCAGTAAAGAAGCCAGCTAAATCCTACCGAAACCAAGATGGCCACAAGAGTGACCTCTGGTCAACCTCACTACTGCACTGCCATCAGTGCTATGACAATCTGCAAATGCCATAGCAAAATCAGGAAGTTACCCTATATGGCCTCAAAAGGGGAGGCATGAATAAACCACCCTTTGTTTATCACATATCATCAAAAAATAACCCTAATATTGGGCAACCAGTAGCCCTCGGGGCTGCTCTGTCTATGGAGTAGCCATTCTTTCATTCCTTTACTTTCTTAATAAACTTACTTTACTTTGTATTCTTTCTTGCAGACTCACCTTGAATTCTTTCTTGCACAAGATCCAATAACCCTCTCTTGAGGTCTAGAATGGGACCCCTTTTCCTGTAACAGAACCACTACCAACCAGGACATCCAAAATATAGAAAACTATGAGCCATCCATCCTGGATATAGGAAATAATGTACATTTTCTGTACAGAATTTAACAATAATAATTAAATATATTAACTATAAGTTCAGTTTTTATTATCCTTTTGTATGGACAGTTATAAATAATGTTAGTGACTAAAATATCCCTCCCTGGCCAGACACGACGGCTCATGCCTGTAACCTCAGCACTTTGGCTGAGGAGGAGGCTGAGGCGGGTAGATCACCTAAGGTCAGGAGTTCAAGACCAGCCTGACCAACATGGAGAAACCCGGCCTCTACTAAAAATATAAAATTAGCTGGGCATGGTGGCACATGCCTGTAATCCCAGCTACTCAGAAGGCTGAGGCAGGAGAATCATTTGAACCCGAAAGGCGGAGGTTGTAGTGAGCCAAGATCCTACCATTGCACTCCAGCCTGGGCAACAAGAGTAAAACTCTGTCTTGGAAAAAAAAAAAAAAATCCCTCCCCACATAGCTGAACTAGTCCTTCCCAAGTCCTCTGTATGCTAGGGCCAGCAGCCTATAGCCAACTATATCAAATATCCAGGTATATGAGATAATTAAGGGTTTTTGTTATTTAAGTAATTTTTATATGAGTTTTCTGTTACTTGTGTATGTTCGGAACTGCTTAAGTTGTCCATGAAAAGAAGCAGATCCAGAATATTGCTATATTAGGTAAATCTAGCACTAAAGAGAAATACTATGAATTCCTGCTTTAAGGACCTACAATATGCCTGGTTCCCAGGCCTCCCCCAGCTGTAATAATGCAAGGATTGATAAATTATGGTTGCCCTTCTCGCATGTCCAGAGGATTCTCCCTATGTGCTGTTAGTATTACTATGTTAAACTGTCTTTACATTGATTAACAAGAGTAGGTTCCTTTGCCTATTAACCAAAAGAACCAACTGAGAAACAGAACCTACTATTTAACAATCAAATTACAAAAGAATTTTCTAATATAAGTTGTTGATTGAATTTACTTTGCAAAGTCTATACTAAGGAGATAGCAGGTAGACAAAAATATGCTTAACATAACATTGTTCATAATAATTAAAATTACTATTTACCTAAATGTTAACAAAAGAGCACATAAATAATTTCCTGACTATATAATCATGCAGAAATACACAGCCAAATATTATGTGTAAAAAGGCAAGTAACATAAAAACATATATATATGCAGGATATACATTTGAAAATATAAATATATATTAGAAAAGTGGTGAATGAAAAAAATCAATTAGCAGTGGTTATTATTCCGGAGTGGTGGAATTAAAGGCCATTGATTTTTTTCCCCATATATTTTCTATATTTTCAAAGATTTTAATTCTATAAAATAATTTTTAAAATATGTAATTAGCATACTTTTCACTCTCATTAATGTATCACGAAAATATACTTGGTTTCTGGAACAATTTTTCATTATGAGAATGTATACATACACGAAAATAATGAAGTCAATAGGTTAGACTGAAAGACTGAACTAAATCAGGAAATTTTAAAAAATGAAGTTGGATATTCATGAGAATTTGCATTTTATAAAAAAGAATAAAATCACATTCCAAGAAAATCCTTCTCTCACAAAAAAGGAAAAAAAATATGTAATTTATTTTAGAGAGAGGCTTACTTTTTGAGAGTATAAAAAAGACTAAAATGCATTTAGTTTTTTGTTTTTACAACAACATAAACAAAACTTGAATCGTGCTTCTGAGGATACTGATTCATAAGAGTATCTTCACAATCCTATGGGATATTATTCTAATTCGTGATGATAGAATAACCTGGGCTTCACATGGAATCTCAAGCTTCCCTGTTTTCCTTAGATGTTTAGATTTGTTTATTTGATTCTTTAGATTAACACTGTCAAATACATATGATGGTTGTTGAATTACCATATTGCATTTGTCAAAGGAAAATAAATCTTGGGACCCTAACATTACCAAGCCAAAGGGAAAAGTCAAGCTGGGAAATACTTATGATAAACCTGTCCCCCATCCTATTCAAAGCCATCCCTCTGCCCACTGAGATAAACACGTAGCTGATTGCCTCCTTTGGAAAGGCTAATTAGAAACTCAAAAGATTGCAACCACTTGTCTCTTGTCTATCCGTGGCCTGGAAGCCCTCTTCCTATATCTAGTTGTCCTACTTTTGCTTCAACTTGTTCCACCTTTCTGGACTGAACCAGTGTTCATCTTACTTATGTTGATTGATGTCTCATGTCTTCCTAAAATGTATAAAACTAAGATGTGCTCTAACCGCCTTGGGCACATGGCATCCGGACCTTCTGAGGCTGTATCATGGGTGCATATCCCTAACTTTGGCAAAATAAACTTCCCAAATTGACTGAGATCTGGCTCAGGTTTTGTGGTTCACGCATTTCAAATCAATGACGTTTTCCCATTAATATATTTTTTTCCCTGAGGGGAGAAAAATTTGGTTGGAAAAGAAGAGCAGGGGAATCAAGATACATAAATGTATTAGAAAGAGAACATGTGGATTTATTTGAAAACCTAGGAAAAACCTAAGACTTCTAGGTACTATGTTCTATTATATTTTGCCCATGAATAGGAGTTTCTTTTATAGACACAGTGTAAATTGTTAAATTTAAAAAGATTACAAGACATGAGGCTTATAATCCCAGAGTAGACCATGGATGACACAACTGCTGCTAATACACAGCAACACATTGCATCCAGAAATACAATCAATGAAATGTTTTCTATATTAAAGAAATTAATTTTATTCAGTATTACTTTTTTTTTTTTTTTTGATACGGAGTCCAGCTCTGTTGCCCAGGCTGGAGTGTGGTGGCGAGATCTCGGCTCACTATAACCTCTGTCTCCTGGGTTCAAGCAATTCTCCTGCCTCAGCTTCCTGAGCAGCTGGTATGGCAGATGTGCACCACCATGCCCGGCTAATTTTTATTTTAGTAGAGATGGGGTTTCAGCATGTTAGCTAGGCTGGTCTCGAACTCCTGACCTCAAGTAATCCACCTGCCTCAGCTTCCCAAAGTGCTGGGATTACAGGCGTGAACCACCATGCCCAGCCTAGTATTATTCTATTTCATAAAGTTGACAAAAGCAAATAAACAAAATAAAACAATAAAAACATACCAGACACAGCAAGGAAGTCATCGATGCTTGTAATGTCATCTACAGCTTCAGTGAGGACATGTATATGATTCTCCCATGTACGTTTGTACATTTCCATGGTGTTTTTGACCACTTGACTTTTAGGTCTTGCAGCCAAAGCAAGTGCAGCATTAATAATCTGTAAAGATAAGGATTTAAAAAACAACCTATTGGGTACAGTGTTCACTATTTGGGTGACAGGTACACTAAAAGCAATATATGCATGTAAAAAATATCAATCTATAATTCCTAAATATATAAATACAAAAAATTAAAACGATGAAATTAAATTATATTCATTCATAAAAATGAAATTTAAAAAACCTGTAAAGATGTAGAATGTTTATCTAGTGATTTCTTTTTTTTTTTTTTTTGAGATGGAGTCTCACTCTGACACCAGGCTGGAGTGCAGTGGATCACTGCAACCTTCGCCTCCCAATTCAAGTGATTCTTCCACCGCAGCCTCCCAAGTAGCTGAGATTACAGGTGCACGCCACGATGCCCTGCTAATTTTTGTATTTTTTTTTTAAGTAGAGACAGGGTTTCATCATATTGGTCAGGATGGTCTCGATTTCTTGACCTCGTCATCTGCCCTCCTCAGCCTCCCAAAGTGCAGGGATTACAGGCACAAGTCACTGTGTCCGGCCAGTGATTTCTTTAAATACATTATGTGTATTAAAATTAGATTATTTAAAATAAATTAAATATGATTAAATACATTCATCCTCAACAATAGGAAAACAGTAAAATGTCTCTACATATATACAGTTTATTTTGAAAAGTATAAAATGTTTTATAATTTTAATATAATTTTTATTTTTAAAATTTTCCTACTGCCTCTATTATTGCAGAACGAGAGTTTTTAAATATAAACTTTCTCACCATAAGCTCCATGAAGTTCAAAACACTTTTCTAAGTGATGACATTAGGCATTTAATCTATCTTTAAAGAACTAACGATTCTGGGAATTTAAACATGTCAATGTAATATTTTTAATATTATTAACTGGTGAGAAATGGGTGCTTTTAACAGATTGTTCAGATTAATAAACAAAAAGAAATCAGAAAGAACCAAATTAGGACTGTAATTCGAATGTCCAGTGATTTCCCATGGATATTCCTGAAATATTGCCCTTGTTTCAGAAGAGAAATGAGCAGGAACACTGTCATGGTGGAGAAAGACATTCTGGTGAAACTTTCTTTGGCATATTTCTATCAAATGTTTGGCTAATTTTCTCAAAATACTCGTGTAGTATGCAGATATTATCATTCCTTGGCCCTCTAGGAAGTGATTAAGCAAAATGCCTTTAGCATACCATAAAACTGTTGCCATAACCCTTGTTCTTGACTAGTCTGTTTTTGCTTTGACTGGATCACTTCTGTCTGTCAGTAGCCACTGCTTTGATTATGGGGTCTTCAGGATAGTATTTGTAAAGCCATGTTTCATCTCTCGTTACAATTCTTCAAAAACGTACTTCAGGATCTTGAGATCACTTATTTACAATTTCCACTGAAAGCTCTGCTGTTTTCTGCAGCTGATCTGGGCACAATGGTTTGGAAATTCATAGAGTAGAATGTTTGATCAACTTCAATGTTTTAGTCAGAATTGTGTAAACTGAACCAATTAAGATATCTATGCTGTTGGGTGTTGTGCTGTTATTCATTGGTTATATTCAATTAGGGCATGAATAATATAAAATTTTTTGAACACAAATTGTTGTGGATGCAATGCTTCTGTGAGCTTCATCTTCAACATCATCTCTTGTTAAAATGAATTCAGTTTGTAAACTGATGATTTATTTGGTGCATTGTCTCCATGAATATTATGTAAAGCATCAATGATTTTATCATTCTTCCACTCAAGCTTCACCATAAATATGTTTGTTCTTCAATTTTAGAAGAGTTTATGTTGTCTTTGATAGTTGGTTGATATAGTTTGGCTATGTCTTCACCCAAATCGCATCTTGAGTTGCAATTTCCATAATTCCCATGTGTCATGGGGGGGACCCGGTGGGAGGTACTTGAATCATGAAGGCAGTTACCTCCATGCTGTTCTCATGAAAGTCAGTTGAGTTCTCACGAGATCTGACAGTTTCATAAGGGGGTTTTCCCTTTTGCTCAGCACTTCTCCTTCCTGCCGCTTTAGAAAGCAGCACATGTTTGCGTACCCTCTGCCATGATTGTAAGTTTCCTGCAGCATCCCTAGTTCTGTGAGGCTATGAGTCAATTAAACCTCTTTCCTTTATAAATTACCCAGTCTCATTTCTGTCTTTATTAGGAGCATTAGAATGGACTAATATGGAACTCTTTTCAAACTGATGTCTCTTATTTTTAATCCCTCAAACTAGATCCCTCAAAGTATAACCTGTATTATTTTAAGTTAGTAAAGGTTTATATTGGTGCAAAAATGTTGAATTTTATGCATAATGAAGACCTTTCATACAATGACAACAATAAAAAGAAGCTTTTTCTACTGAATATCCTAAAGACTATAACTTAAGTTACTTCCCATCAGCAAATTACTGGAGGTGGAGGCAGGGAAAAATTAGTTGCTTGAGAATAATATATTTTAATCCCCTGATTTTTTATAAAAGAGGAACATATTGAATTTTAAGGAAACACACTAACTTTAGAAATTACTGTGCAATATGCCTTGACTTCAGTTTTAGAGTTTTATTAACCTATTAATTTACAATATACCTTTGTGTATATTGCAATGGCTCTGGTCTCTGGTGTTTCATTGTTCTTGTAAATGGACAACTATGTAAACATGTGGTTGTGCGGAAATTATGCCTTCACTGCAAAGTATACTTTTAAAGTACTGGTGTAAAACCCTCAGTGGAGATAGGAAGTTATGAACATAAGACAGGCTATATTTTATAAGAATATTTTCAGTTCTGCTGCTGATAATCTATCTGATTCAACACTGCACACTATGAGGAGGCTTTATCCTGCTTGACTCTTCTGACACTTAGCTTAAATCTAAAAGTAGACAGAATTCAGAAGAGTTCTTCTAACCCTCTTAAGGCAGAAGAAATGTTCATCCCAATGTAACATTCCTAGAACTTTTGACATATATCTAGAGAAAATAAAATGACCATCTTAAATCTTCTTCATGCAAAACTAAGATTTTTTAAAAATAAATTATGTTACTTTCTGAGGAATTTTGTTTCTTCAGATTACGGTTGAGATGTTTACATATCAGTCACCTGACCCTGATAATTACGTAGTCTGTCAGTTCACCTTTTGAAACAGTCACTTTTAAGTTTAGGCCTTATTATATCTTAACGGGGCCATTCTAGTAGCCTTACAGGTTTCTACTTCAGTCTTTATTTGCTCTGAGACATTCTTCTTAATACAAACACATTTCTTTCTCAAATACAGAAGTGATCACATCCCCAACTTGTGGATAACCTTTGATAAATTCCTAGTTGACTGAAGACAAAAACAAAAACCAAATTTCTTTTTAGTAATTCACAGTCTAAAACCATCCACAGTTTGGATCTTACCTAGAGTTCACTCTGCTCTAATAATCTCACTGGTTTTAGCCTTCATTCCAGCCACAGTTTTCAGCTCCATTTCCTTATCACATCACTCATCTTTGTACCTCTGTGACCATTTTTATAGCTGAATCTGCCTTAATGCCTTTGCTTCATCCCCTTTTCACTCCACTCCATCTCAGGAAACATTTTTTATATTTAGCAAATACATGGAAATATCACCACATACTGCAAAGCCTGTCCTGGTTCCTATACCCAGCAAATGGAATTGTTTTCTCCTTTGTGTTTAAAAAATATTTTGTCCATATAAATAAAGAGTAGTTATTCTATTGTATGACTGCTCATACATATGTCTGTTCCTGGGTAATTAGCTCCATAACAGGAAAGGCTATGTATTATTCATCTTTGCTTCTTCATATACTAACCATGTTGATTATCATAGCTGCTATACTTCTAAACTGTCCCTAAAAGACACCATTGTGCTCACAGCCCACATTGAGAGGAGCCACAATGGGACAGGTTTGGTATAATTTTCTCCCTCTTCCACACTATTCAGGTCACAGGCAGGCAATTAATTCAAGATGAGCTAATCTGTTGGCGGGCTGGTGATTGGTCATGAGGTTTGATACAAAAGGTTTTGGTGTTTTAATCAATCTTGAAAATTTGAACTAGAATTTATGGAGAAATCGTTAGTTAGCAGTCAAGACCAAAGTTAAAAGTTTCTGTAGAGAGTAGCCATCTTATAAAATCAGAACCAGAGGGGGCCAGTGGAGCTGAAGCTACAAGGAAACTGGAGCCAAAGTGAAATGAAGAAGAAACTGTGAGTAGACTGAAGCTGATGTTTAAAAAGAAAAGAAAAATAGAAAGACACAAATAAATAAAGTCTGGAGTAAAATAAGCCAGTGGGTGGCAAGGAGAATAGGGAAAGTCTATCAAGAGAGTCTAAAGCATCAACAGAGAGAAAATGATACTCAGATGAAAAAAAAGAACTAGGAGTTGCTTGTATTTGAGAATATCCCATTTTGGGAAACACTAACAGCTATAACAATAAAACACTAATGAAGTCCATAATTTGTGCCATGCACCATTGTTCCAAGCACTTTCTACATATTCACGCATCTAATTTCTTTAACCTAATTTTTACACCACAATGGGGTAGGTATCTCCATTTTCATCTCCATTTTCAGACAAGGTCACCAAGTTATTAAGGAGAAGTTGTCAACTTGATCTAGACCTTCATACTCTTAATTGCCATACTATATTATCTTCTATAACAATATTATACTAATTTATGATGCTATGAGTGAGTGATGATCCTTAAAACCATAAACACATCACTGAAGAAAACATTACAATGCCTGGTGTAAAGAAAAACAAAAGAGAGAGGCTGTGTGTGTGTGTGTGTGTGTGTGTGTGTGTGTAAGAGAGGGAGAGAGAGAATATACATAAAATTTGCTAGGTTAACCATTTATAAAATTCAGTGGCATTAAGTACATTCACATAGTTGTGCAACTCTCTATCTCCAGAACTTTTTAGCCTCTCAAACTGAAATTCTGTACTCATTAAACAATAACTTCCTATTCTTCCTTCCCCCTAGTACCTAGTAAGCTCTCTTATACTTTCTGCCTCTTGATGTCGCT